GATTTTTGGCAGAAGCCTGTGAGCTCTCCTGGAAGTTCCCGGCTCCGGTTCACCTTTCTCCTTGTGTTCTGTAGTGCCATGAGTGCCTGCAGGAATGTCCTGGGAGTGTGTTACTTGCTCTTGTTGTAATCCCCGAGCGTGTGGCCACAGCCCTGGGAGCCTCAGAGCAGGCCTGAGCAGGAGTCAGGGCTCCGTGTTGGAAGCTGTTGGGTGGGCAGTGGTGCGAGTTTGAATAGAGTCTCTCTGTGATCTTGAATGCATTAGGGCTGCTGTCAGCCTAGAACAATTTTAATTCTATTGAGGACAATCCTATTTTTAATTCCACTGTTGAATTTCATCAGTCACCAAGACTGTATCTAGAAATGGCACATTAGGCATCCTGAACTCAAATACCTAAGCAGGTTATGTGATGTAGGGAAGCAAGCCTGGCATCAAAAAATCAACTGACGGAAATATGAAACACTATCTTCATTTTACCTAACTCTAAGTTAATATTGGAGTTTGATATTCAGAATTAAGAAAAAGTGAATTGAATTGAAATAAATTTTCTCTAGCACTCCTCTTTGCATCGGGAGCTCGCAGTCTGGTGCCTTTTTGTCCACACCACGGCTCCAGTGGCACATCTTGTCCTTGGGGTTGGGTGCAGTGCTGCGCTGGCCCTCGACTCTCCTGACCAGTGGGAGTATTGAGTTTCATTGACTTTCATAACAGGAAATAGCTGTTCATAAACATGCATACATCCAAACTGGAGAAGAATGTTGGCATAAGAACTTATGCCATTTAGAGTAACTGTTCCTGACATATTTATAAAAATATGAGATTTTGTATCAATTATGTTTAGTTTTTTTGTATCATTTTATACTGTAACTTCCATTTGTAAAGCTCTTTGCTTGTCGTAATTATTAATCGAAAAGGGAAAACTGAACAGATTGTATCATTTTACAACATTTGAAATCACAAATTTTGTATGCCTGGGCATGGTAGGGGGCAGTTACCTGCAGTTCCACAGATGTAAAAATACAGTTCAGGCCATTGATCTCTGATTTCTGCAAGCCGAGATAATTTCTAACCAAACAAGTTTTCTAAAGATACAATTTCAGTAGGAATGAGTGAATGAAATGATGTAGTTGTGTAACTATTAAATATTTAATAATGTCCCTTACAGCAAATAGTATTGAGAACACTTTATACTTATATAAAAATTAACACAAAATGGATCAAAGACCTTAAGAGCCAAAACTATAAAACTTAGAAGAAAATATATGGAAAAAGCTTCATGACATTGGATTTGGCAACAGTTTCTTGGATATGACACCAAAACCACAAGCAACAAGAGAAAAAGTAAGTACATTGGACTTCATCAAAATTAAAAACTTTTGTGCATCAGACAGTATCGATACAGGGAAAGAGCAGCCGATGGAGTGGGAGAAAATGTTTGCCAATCATGTATCTGATAAGGGGTTGATATCGAGAATATATTAAGAATTGCAACTCAACAAACAAAACGCAAAACAACACAAAAAAATGGACAGGGGCTTTAAGTAGACATTAAAGAGGATATAAGAATGGCCAATAAAGACAAAGAATAACTGTTCATTGTCGCTGGTCATTAGGGAAAAGAGGCTCAGCATCACTAGTCACTGTAAGATACCACTTCACACCCATTAGGGCGGCTACTATCGAAAAAGGAAAAACAAAAACAAAAACAAATAAGTGTTGGCAAGGATGTGAAGGAATAGGAGCCCTTGTTCTCTGTTGGTGGGACTGTAAAATGGTTCAGCCACTGTGGAAAGCAGCACAGTGATTTCTTAAAACACCGGAATTACTATACGATCCAGCAGTGCACTTCTGGGTATATATCCCCAAAATTTGAAAGCTTGGTCTTGAAGAGACATTTGCACGTCCATATTCATAGCGGCATCCTTCACAGTGGCCCAAAGGTGGAAGCAACCCAGGTGTCCGTGGGTGGGTGAGTGGCAAGCAAGATGGGGTCTGTGCCTGCAGTGGGATGTCACTCAGCCTTAAACGGCGAGCGTTTCTGACACATGCTCAACACGGCTGAACCTGGAGGACATTATAAGTGAGATTTTAGGCAGTCACAAAAAGATAAATACTGTGCGGTTTCATTTATATGACGTACTTGAGTAGGTGGCTTGTGATGTCACCCAGAAATGCCACGTCGCTGCATGCAGTGAGCCAAGCTGAGGGGTTTCCTTGGGTCCTGTGACGCGTCGTTTGCCTGGACCACAAAGCTCTCTGCAGCACGCGCCTCCAGCCCTGCGGTCCCCACGCGCGGTGCTCAGGCGCCAGGCCCCGGGCCGCACGGCAGGAGGCGAGCCGGGGAGCCCCCCTGCACCCTGCGCCGCTCCCTGCGCTCGTCACTGCCGGTGCCGGCCTGTCGGGTCTGCGCGGCGTCGACCCCTCACGGAGCGCGGCCCCGCTGCAGAGCGCGCACACGCACGCGCGGCGCCCAGGGGCGGCTCCCGGAGAGAACGCAGCGCCCGGCGATCTGAGCGGGGGCCCCTGCCCGTGGAAAACCGTCTCCCCGAATGGGCCCCTGGTGTCACAAAGGCCCACACCCGGTCCTCCAGCAGTCTTGTGGTGGACATCCAGTTGATGGGGCAGGAGCGTCCAGCTGCGTGGCATTCGGCTCGGGAAAGCGGATCTGTTCTGTAATTTGGTAACTGCCTCCTTGACCATTACTGCGCTGAGGTTTTGCAAAATGCTCCTTCCCGAAGAATGATACTATAAATGGAATGATGCGACCAATGAATGTGGGCTTCACGGATTTGCAGAATGTTTCAGCTGAATAAAAAGTATGACATTAACAATGTGCATTACGTTTGTTAATTTTGACGAATCTACATTGAACTTTTCACAGAACACAAAAAAAGAACCATTTCATAATGTTGTGCTTATAAGGCATACTATACCCTTTAAGTTGTTCAGTCTCTGATAACCAAAATTCTCATCAGCTCTATGAGTAAATATAGTTATCTGGGTTATATCTGTGTTTGGGTTCTAATCAGCTGCTACTAGAAACACAACAAATAACTTGTCTTTCCATGCAGCTTGTCCCATAATTTCTCAGACCTATCTTTACTACACTGAGCAGTTTACAGTTAAATTTATTTACAATCATTGTTTACAGTTAAATTTAAATTTGCCAGTGCTTTATTCTTTTCAGACACATTTTCTGCTGTGTCAAGTATATGCTCCTATAAACTCAGCAATCTCCAACTGCTTGGGCAGTTTACGTACTTAATAATAACTGCATTTTATAGAAGCATTACTCATTATATTTAATCTCTATTGAAAATACCAGTCCTTTTACAATTCACTGAATTTTTTTGTTTTTCTATTAATAGTGCCCATATTTTCTATTAATAAATACTATTCATGGTTCTTAATATGGTTTGCTTAATAATAGCATCTTAAGCTCTGTTCTTCCAACTCAGGCACACTTTGTTAAATATGTAGGAATATACTTCATTACTGAAGGGAAATATGCCTTCTTAAAATCTGTGATCTTTATTTTTTTCCCACTTTTCATAGAGCTGTGAATAAAAAATGATTTCACTTTCCTTTTAAAGGAAAGAACTTGTCGATCTCTAGTACCGCAGTAACAGTGGTGGAGGCTGAGGGGCTCTAGCAGTCCGTCCGAAAGACGCAGTGGCACTTGACTTCCAGCTGGAAACTGGTTTTTGGATAAAAGCACCCGTCCAGTTTTAAGTGTTGGTAACTAATGCAGAAAGAAGTTCTGCATTGTGGGCTGGTGTGGACAGTGCTCCATCAGTTTGCTTTCTCCTCTGTCACTTGGCAATTGGTCGTCCCTCTGCCTCTTGGCCACAAGTGCCCTGGGCAGTCCCGCAGCCTTCGTTTTAGGGTAAGATTTAGACAAATCCTAATGTTGCAGCTGTTTTCATATTCATATTAGTAGAAATTGAGGCTAGGCTTTTACTACCTTTCTATTTAATGAGATTAGAAGACACTGGAGTGAATTAGATAGACGGATCTAGTGAGTTAGGCAGTCTTCAACAAAACAGATATCTTGTGCTACATAACTGTTCTGACCCAAGTTTGCCCTAAATCATGCTACTATACCACTGTGTCCCCTTGGAGCTGAAGAGCTGATCAACTCCCACAGCCCCTAAAGTAGAAAGGGGCAAAGTCAAAACCAAATGCAGGGCTCTGCCTCTATACTGTGTGGATTTCCCCAGTGGGAAGGAGGGCAGGTTTGTGTGTGAGATAGCGTCTTCAAAAGAGCAGAAAGTGATGCAGGTGATCAGGAATTGCACTGAGAAAATAAACACTACCAGGACAGAGCCTATTTGCATGACTAGTCGTCTGATTTTATTTTTATTAAATTAGTTTAATAAAAATTTATTAATAAATATTAACAAAAATTTTATTTAATTAACATTACAATTCACTCACCATAAAGGATTCTGTAAAAGCATATGAGTTGAATTTCTCAGAATTTGTTAAGTTTTGTCTGAGCTGAAAGAAAAATGCTCGGCTTGGTGGAATGCAGCATTTCTGGTGAAGGGACTTAGTGGACGGCATTGCTCGTCCACTGCCATTCGCCGGCTGCTCACTGACATGGTCACGGCTGGGTCCAGGAATACTCCAGCCGTGTTGCAGGAGTAATCAGTGTCAAGTCACCTAATGATGTAAGATTCTCAAGTGCTTTTTTGGTGTTATTGATTTTATAAATGAATTAAGAAATGAGATTCTGTTTTGAAGTAGTTTTGCAGCTACTTTTTTTTTGGAAACAAGAGTCTCACTCTGTTGCCCAGGCCAGAGTACCGTGGCCTGGTCACAGCTCACTGCAGCCTCAACCTCCTGGACTCAAGTGATCTCCTGCCCCGGCTACTTATTTTGACATAGAAACTTCTGGCCCTTGTTTATTTTTATACATGAAGAAGTTAAACACTGAAGTGTTAAAACTAAAAGGTTTCCAATCATCGCCTGCCTTTTCTCTCTCCTCCACCCCTCAGGGGGGACACAGCGATTGCCACGGGCCATCGGAATGTCCCTGGCCAAGGAGCTCATCTTCTCCGCACGAGTCCTCGATGGCCAAGAAGCCAAAGCAGTGGGCTTGATCAGCCACGTTTTGGAGCAGAACCAGGAGGGGGATGCTGCCTACAGAAAGGCTCTGGACCTGGCAAGAGAGTTTCTGCCTCAGGTATTTCTAACTGGAGTTCCTTTTTTCTCATTTTAAAAAACTTAAAACATGTCGACTAAAACAACAGTCATCTGGAATACCTGAGACGGCCTGGGCTTGCTTTCAAGTAAAGGGAGGTGTGGCCTGTAAAACTAGAAATAGCGATACCAGACAGACATGGGGTCCTGCAGATGCCAGTCCAGGTTTGAAGAGACTGTGAGGGACATGCTGTATCCACACTTTGACAATATGTCACTCAAACAGCGTTTGTCACACACGGCACAACTTCCCAGCAACCTGTTTTAATTCATTCACCAACTGAGTGTCCTAACCGAAGCCATACCCATGGACAGGAAGAATGATGGGTGGCTGTCACACTGGGCCACCCCCAAGTCAAAACACGTTGAAATACACTCTTTTCTAATAAGTAAGCAGACCACAGTCTGTTGTGCCAAAGTGGGCGTTCATTCGAGATGACCTGCTGGTAGAGCAGCAGGTGTGTGTGTTACTCCGTGTGTGTGTGTGTGTGTGTGTGTGTGTGTGTGTGTGTGTGGTGCTGTAGGTGCTGTTTTAACTCCTTTGTACTTCCTCGCAAATACACTTTCAAAATCTGGAACACATAACACATTTGTTCCCGTGTGACCATGCTGATGGGTAGCGTTAGTGACTGTGCACTCACGGCCCTGTTTCAAGGGATTCTTTGTTCTGTCTCTGTCTCGGATGTATTTTTCCCATATCCCTTTTGAAATTGCAGATTAAAGGACTTTAACTTAAGAGGAAGAGGCTTTTGCTACGTAAATAATTAGTGATATCTGTTTATCCCTAATGGAGTTTGTTTTATAACCCCTTAGCCATTTCTGGAGTCCAAATAATGTTTTTTCCATCTCAGGATCACTTAACTCAAACAGGATTCATAATCTCTTTTGGGGCCGTGGATCCCTTCGGAAAGGTCATAAAATCTGTCTCCAAAAACAACACGTATGCCTCCCACACGAACGCTGCCTCCAGTGATCCTCCGGGCAGTGGGTGCCATCCTCCCCTCCGCCGCGGGTGTGGCGTGGAGCCGCGTTCTGTCCTGTGGCCAGCCAGCCTCATCTCCCTCTCTGTGCGCGCTTTAGTCTCCTTTCGTCCTCTGAGAATATTACTTGTTAGAATTAATTTTTCTCCAGGTCAGACAAATATGTGAGGAGATACTGAATGACTTCAGAAAATGTATGACTGTAAAACTGTATGCACAAGTTACCAAATGGAGTTTGAGTGGAATAATCTTTATTTTTACATTCGTTACTTTGTTATTGAATGGTTACTCTTCCAAATAATCAGAAAGCTTCTGTAAAAGTACTATTTTGGGGTGATATCTGTACTATATGTTACTCCATTTCCCTGAGAAAAAAGGCTTGTAAGGAAGAAGAGGCATTGGTTTTATGTTTTAAAGGGAAAGCTAATTAAATCGACCATTATCTCTAATAGCATTTAAAATTTTCCTGATTTTTTCCCATGGTTTTCTAAGCTTTGCTTCACAAAGCGTGGTCTGTGGACCAGCTGTTTGGGCGTTTCCTGGGAGCTTGTTAGACGTGCGGAATCCCAGGCCCGCCCCAGACACATGGAACCCGCACCCCAGGCAGCAAGGGTGCGAATGGGCATCTGTGTGGTCTGGGCAGTGGGCAGGCTCCTCGTCCTGGTCACTTGGCAGTGAAAATGGAAAAGATTCTCCTTGAGAGGAACACACTGTTTTTAAAAATGGGCTGATGCTCATGAAAAAACTGGTACTAGTATGTACTACACGTGCAGGTCACATTTGGAAGAATTGTAACTAAAATACTTGTCTAAATACTGTAGCCTTGGGAAATTGTGGCGTCTGAAAAAGATTAAGTATATGACTTAGGAAGAGGATTTAGATAGGTCGAATTTTGATAATAGAAATCCCTGGATAGGAAAAAATGACATTTTTCATACATTCACCCATTTCTCCATTCACTTATTAGAATGGAAGCACTCGTTGTGCCTGTTATTTAGAGCCTACCTTGATTTTCATTCAAAAGACCATTGAATCCAAAATAAGCCATTGAATTCACATTCGTCACTCACTAGGAATTTAAAACATCAAATAACTAAATTGCATCTGGGGGACTGTGGTTCTCTGTAGGATAGTTTGGTAAGAGTTTGGCTTCCACAAGACACAAGAAACATTTTCCTTCTCACAGAGGATGTCCACTTCTCCCCTCCGACCCTCACACATCCTGATAGACTCACGCAGACTTTGCATTTACCCGCGACGCGGGGGCACTGCCTAGAGGACACCTCCTGATGAGTCCACGGTCACTGTGGTTAGTCTCCGATTGTAACGGAGAAAAGATGAAGCGCCAATGTCTGAAACAGAGGATATCTGAGCCCCAGTTTGATACATAGTGACAGCCTGAGCTTTTATCCTACCCCCAACTGGTGTAGTGTGAGCCAAGGGCTACGCCTTTTCTTTCCCCTAGTTAACTTCTAGGGCGGGTTGCTGAAAAGCAGCAAGCCTGAAAGTGGACATGCACTGCCTGCCAGCCTTCGGGGAAGCAGTGTGTGGCGTAACAGAATCTCTGAATCTAAATAACTTGCTGATGCCCCCTAGTTGTTATAATTGCTATTTAATTAAAACCTTGCCAATGAGCACGCCTGTGCACAGAGGGAGGTAAAACTCAGCGGCAATCAAGCAGGGGTGAGGGGGAAGGAGGGGATGGGTGAAAACCTACCTAATGGGTACAGTGAGCACTATCTGGGTGACGGGCACACTTATAACCCCGACCCAAGCATAACAAAAGCAGTCCACGTAGCCAAAAACATTTGTACCCCCATAATATTTTGAAATTAAAAAAAAAAACCGTCAAGGCTCACAGAAGAAATCTTCCATCTAGTGTCACACAACTATTGTTGGCTGTGCCATGAAGCCAGCAATAGGAATTTCTGAATTTTACTGAGATTTACAAGAGAATTTGCATAAATAGTAATTAAAGTCTGTGTTTCTTTATTTTGAATTTTAGGGACCTGTTGCAATGAGAGTGGCAAAATTAGCAATTAATCAAGGGATGGAGGTAAGTTCCTTAGTATTTAAGTTTGTTTTTGCAATGGATAGTGGAGATTTAATTCAAATGAACACATTTAGACATCTACGTTATTTTTTAATGTTCAAAAATAGAGCTGTTTGAATGCTGTTGTTACCAAAAGCTGCTGAGCTTCCTTTAGCTACGTCATTCATTCTTCCTAGGGTTGTTGCCCATATCTGCCCATGCCCTGCAGCTTGTGACATATCTGTTATTTTTCCCATTCAGTTAATAGACACATTTATTGCCTCCTAGTTCATAGAAAACCAAAAAAAAGGGAGCACATTCTGTGTATTCTTACCGTCAGTATCATATTATATGTAACATGCCAAGGAGAACTCCTAGCTCAAAACCGAGTCAGCTGTCTCCATCTGTAATGTCTCAGTGTGCTTTCTGCAGGGAGGCACGTGCAGAGCTGAATCTTCAGGCTGTCCTGAGGTTCCCCGGGGAGATGACTCCAAAAGAGTGAAGGCCCCGGGCAGAGGAGGGCGTGGTACACGCACCCGTTTACTTTGGGCTTCTAGTTACAGCTGTTACATTTTGGTTAAATTATGGGTGTTTTCAAGAAAAGTGCTTCTTTCTTGCAGACCTAGGAGCTACTGTATCTTCCTGGGCTTTATAGCTGTAAAAAGAGATTGAATTTATTAGCAATAAATGTAGTTTTATAAATTTGCAAAAGTATTTGATTGACTTATTCAATAGCAACAATACTAATAACAAACACCTTATATAGCCGTTACTATGTACCAAGCTTTTTACGTGTGTGTGTGTGTGTGTGTGTGTTTTATAAATGCTTCACCTGGATTAACTCGTTTGCTATTGACAGCACCTCATTCGGTGAGCATTACAACTGGCCTTTGTTCAGACCTGCCTCTCTGAAGCACAAAGAGGTTAAATAACTTTCCCAAGGTTACACAGCTCTGAGGTGGAGGAGCCAGGATTTGAACCCAGGAAGCCTGGTTCTAAGTCTCTCATGTTGGTCATACTAGTGATTTACTTACATCAAAGGAATCTGTGCTTTTGGTAGGGTTATTCAATTTAAATTTATATTAAATATACCATATTTTAAAAAGTTATTTCTACTGAAATGAATTATGCTTTTATCCTCAGGTCGATTTAGTAACAGGGTTAGCCATAGAAGAAGCTTGTTATGCTCAGGTATGTAATACAGTCACAAATTCAATGAGGGTGCACCCTTACAAATTACGCTCACCTTCTGTGCAGTTCAAATGAATTGTGTGTCACTGGGCAAGCTCACCCCCCTGCCCATTCCAACACTTACGGGGGGTTGGTGTTAGTTGTTTCTGCTCTTTGACTATTATCAGCTCTTCTGATCGATTCTGTCCCACAGGCGAATGGCCTCGTCTCCATAATTGAGAAAACTCTTAGAGTGACCACGTCAGCACCATTCGTGCTGTAGCTGTCTCTCTAGGCTTATCCTGTCTTTTGTCAGTGTGGGCGTGGTATCTGCCCAAATGAGTTGAAACGTACGTCCACACAGAAACTGGCACACCAGGCTTTATTCATAATCGCCAAAACTTGGAAGCAACCAAGATGTCCTTTAGTAGGCCACACGATGAACTGTGGTACATCTATACAGTGGAATATTATTCAGTGATAAAAAGACATGCACTGTCAAGCCACAAAAACGTGAAGGAACCTTTAGTGCCTACTGCTTAGTGAACGGATTCAATCTGAAAAGGGCTACATGCAATATGATTCCAATTCACTGACACTCCGGAAAAGACAAAACTGTGTTTGGTGAGGGTCAGGGAGGAAACGTGGCACACAGGGGATATTTAGGGCAGTGAAACCATTCTGTTTGGTGCTGTAATGGTGAATGCATGACATTATGCATTTGTCAAAACCCAAGGAACACACAACATGGAGAGTGAACACTAGCGAGTGAGCACTAAGGGCCACTGTGGACTTTAGTTAATAATAGCGTGTCAGTATCAGTTCATTGCTTGTAGCAAATGTGCCACACAAATGCAAGATGTCAATAATAGGGGAAATTGGAGCAGGGTTTGAGGGAGTATATGGGAACTCTACTGTCTGCTCAATTTTTAATAAACATAAATTGCTCTTAAAAATAGACATAATTTTTTAAAAGTATATTTGAAATGAAAAAAACATTTGGTGTAAAATGGTCAATTTGGTTATACAATTAGAATTGTTTAAGTGATTAGCAGATTTCAAACTTTTAGAATGCTTCTAAGTAGTTTTCTTGGATAATACTTGATAAACTTTTACAATTGCTTTTTAATTTTTAATATATGTAATATTTTGTTTTTCTTAGATCATTCCAACGAAAGACAGACTTGAAGGTCTTCTTGCTTTTAAAGAGAAAAGGCCCCCTCGCTATAAAGGAGAATAGAAAGGACAGAAATGCTTCAAATGCCAATGTAATAAATGTGCTTCTGGAAATTTCTTTCAGATCCACTATATGCCTCAGCACACAGAGTTTCAATGACCAAAGTGAAGAGCGAATGATTCATATAGTGTATTAAGCATCCGGAACAGCCCATGTGCACTTCCTGCAAATGCGTAAATGTCATATCCGTTCAGAGTTATGAAGCTAGTAGTGTATATTGTCAAAAACTGATTCAGAATTAGGTATACATTTTTAAATATTTCCTGCATATGAGGCTTTTTGTTCTTAATTTTTTAATGTGAATAATTTATATACTGCACACTCTAGGAATAACATCGATTGTATGTCTACTGTGCTGCATTAAGGAAATAAAATTATTTCTATACACCAGAAATGTGAAGCTGCACCGAATGAAGTTCTGAGTGACTGTGTACGTGTGAACAGACACATACACATAAACCTCAGCCTGAAAAATGGATTGATGGATATTCTGAGTGAAAACTACCTAATATAAATAAAATTAGTGAAAAGAAAACTTGGGAATTTTTCTCTTTCCCCATCCCTTTTGAATTGACTAAATCACTGCATGTTGGATTTTGGAAGAAACGACCTTTTCATGCTGATTCGATTGGGAGACCTCTCTCCCTAGTCCTGCAGCGCAGTACTGCAGGTGCAGAACTAATCCACTCAGAGACTGAGGAGCTTGTGAAGCCGGCGGGAGGCCTGGTGCTGTTGTACTTCCTAGACCTCCTCCCAGCCTGGGAAAGGCCCGGCCCCTTCACGGAGGAGGAAAGAAAACGTGCGGGCCAGGGCGGAGCGTGGAAATGGCTGCGGTCGGGGTTGAGAGTAAAGTGGAAGCTTCTCTGCTTCTTTCCCCCACCTGTTGGCATCTGATTTCCCTATGGGAAGGCGGTGGGCGCAACGGCCCTCCTCCTCTTCTCACACACACCACGCCTCCCGCCCAGGCCAGGCAAAGCAACTCTCCGTGGAGGTCTGGGGGGCGCGCATAGGTAAAAGGTGTGCGGGAAATCGGGAACTGTAGAATTCACTGTGCAAAAGTAAGGGGAACGTTATGATGTTCTGAAATAACTCGAGATAACTTTAGTTCCCATTCATTTTATCAAACCAGATTACCTTCTGAGGTTGCACCCCGGTCTGAGTCCGGCAGTGCCTGGGACAGGGCAGCCCTGAGGGGGCCCCGCTGTGGCCTGAACGCTCCTGCTCCGCAGCGTGCCTCCTTGTGGTGCGGCCCAGAGGGGCCCAAAGGTCTCCCCTTGCAAACTGCAGCTTACTGGACAGCCACCTATTTTATAGTGGATTTACGTCCTCATCACAGCAACTTCATTGCTGTCTGAAAAAATATAGACTTGTAATTTTTAAAATCCTGAAACTTTTTAAATTGGGGAATTTGAACTCAACCTCTCTTCTGAAATTCTTAAAAGAGGCAGGTGTGGACTGGCCGTCAGTTGGTGTTCATCCTGACGGCTTCGCTAACACAGGGTGCGCGCGGTTTTCTTCCTCGCCTCCGGTGCCAAAGCACCGCAGGCCGACGCGTGCGCAGCGAATGCTCCTTGCCGTTCACACTGGGCTCACGGCGGCTCCGCGCGCCTGCGCACTGATCAAATGGCCGCGCGGGACATTTCCTGCTTGATAATTGGCACGCAAAGTGCCGGTGCTTGTTTCCCTAGTCCTTTCAAGGGTTCAGGGCCATTTTGTCCTGTCCATGACATGCCAAATGCTACTTCCTTTTTAACTGGGAAGAAAATAATTATGTTAACAGAAAAAAAAAAATTTGAGACTGTGCTAAATGATTTGTGTCTCTTAACGTGAATTCACAGTCGGGTCTACTGTTGCGGAATGAACACTATTTAATTTCCTTCCAAGTTCTGATTCAGTCACTGGTGTGTACCTGAAAGCAAAGTCCTGCAGTGATTGCAAATGTTGCAAACTTCACATATGATAGCACAAGAAACGTATCCAGTTCTCTGTATCAATGTTTGCCTTTCTCTTGCTTTCTGTTCAACAGAGCAGTCTTTCTGAGGAGCCGTCTCCGTACTCCCCAGGTCAGGTGGCCAGGCCGGTGCTCTGACAGGGGCCATGCCACTAGGGAAGGGCCACCTCCCTTCTTACTTCTGCAGCAGTGTTTGTGCATCCAGATAGAGTTGCAGCGGGTGCATCCAATCAGCTCACAGCCGGCTCTCAGGGAGGATCATTGGTCACGCATGGTCATCATTCTGAGGATGAAAGCGAACTACAGAGGGAAGAACAGTTTGCTTTATCTCAGAGCATGAGGCCTCCTGATTCTGAAGTAATTTAATGCTGATTACTTTATAACTTATCTATAAAGGGAAAAGAAGTCTCTAAGTCACTGATGCTCCAAGGCGAGAGAAGTGTTCTAATAGTGACCGAAACAAGAGGCAGATTTTCTGTGATTAGTGCATCACTTTGAGTTCGGTTTGGTTTGGTTTCAGTAATAATGGATCTGGTTTTCCCATCAATCAAGTCATCATTTTCTGTTCTCTTCTAGCTATCAAAGAGCTAGCTTGTCACAGGCATTGCCTTTCTAGCAGCCTTAGAAGAGTGCTTTGTGTGGGCCAAAGTCACAGGGCGTCAACGTGGGAATGTCTTCGTGGGCTTGTCGCAGCTGGCCACCGACCCTTTTCCTCATGTGACCTTAACTTTCACTTTTAGTGATAATGCCCTATATTGCTCTTAGTTTGGGGTCCAAAGATCCTGGCAGGCAGACATTTTAAAATAGTTAATCATGCCATTATTTGTCTACCAACACAGTTAAATACTAATGTATATGTATGTCACTATTTCTTGGACTTTATCAAAATAGCAATTGGGCCAGGTGTGGTGGCTCACACTTGTAATCCCAGCACTCTGGGAGGACAAGGTGGGAGGATTGCTTAAGGTCAGGAGTTCAAGACCAGCCTGAGCAAGAGAGAGACCCCCATCTCTACTAAAAATAGAAAAAACTAGCTGGGCACAGTGGCGCATGCCTGCAGTCCCAGCTACTCGGGAGGCTGAGGCAAGAGGATCGCTCAAGTCCAGGAGCTGCAGAAGCAATGATGATGTCACTGCACTCTAGCCCGGGAGACAGAGCAAGACTCTGTCTCAAAAAAAAAAACAACAAGAAAAAAACCCAATAAACATTTTCTCATATTAAAGAAGAACTATATATGGTGTACATTGTCACAAAAGAAATAATACATATAGCATTTTAAAGTTATTAGTAGCTAATATTTTGGTAACATAAAATAAGAGCCACTTTTCTGCATAGATGAAGCAGGATACACACTCTAATTTGGGGAGGGAAGGGTACCAAACTTTCTGCTGGAAATATGTTTGTGTGTCTCAGGCCCTAAAAGTCACTGTTTGAAATGCCTTCCTGTAGATTTTCATAGTCCTTCTCTCTGGGAACCTTCAAAAATTCAGCTACCCCTTAGAGGGAGAGCACCTAATAACTTGGTTTGCAGTGGGTTTCACGCTTCTCAGGGCAGCATGAGAGAACTGGGAGCCCGACAGGGAAAATGAGGGATGCCAAGGACAGACCAAGAAGTGCACCCCCGTGAGATTCAGGACCAGCCCTGGGGGGCGCCCGGTGTGCTGAAAGGCAGCCAGGAGGGAGACGGCCCCTCCGTGAGCTGACAGCTCCCGGGCGGGCAGGAGAGTGAGCTCCGCAGAACCAGCGTATCAGTCCCCTTTTCGACTCCTGGCACAGAAAACACAGTATTATGTGGTGTGTTTTCATTTAAAGGGACATTTAAATGCCCTGTGAATGAGATGAGAGAATAAGGGCTGTGTACTGTCATAATAATAATTACCAGCATTTGCGGAACCCTTAATACCTACCAGGTGCCTCACAGAGAGTTTCACCCACTCGTCACTGCCTCCCGAGAGAACGGGCACTGAGGTCCCTCCTGTGGCACAGGGGGAAGCAGGTGTGTGGTGCAGGCAGGGGCTGAACCTAGAGCCACCGACCTTTCTGTCACTGTTGGGCTTGGAAACAACCAAAGCGCATAAGCAAAGACTGCTGACAGGCGTGTTTTCATCAACCCGGAGGGAGGAGTGAGCTTTCCCCTTTGCCCTGTTTTGATCCACCTTCCTGTGACTTGGAAAGAGATGAAAAGTGTGCTTAGCCAGTGACCTGGTGACACAGGCAGGCAGTGTGCCCATCAGAGCTCAGGCCCACTAGGTACCTCCTGTGCACATACACGCATTTTCACACCTAATACTCGACAAAAACCTCATGAGATGGGTTTGTCAATTATCGTTTAAAAGACGGAAGCAGCAGGACTCGTACCGGGCATTCTGTGTTCCTGGTGTTTACTGACCACACCATCAAGTACAGGGAGCCATCTGGGTGACGGAATCATGCACGGAGTCTGTAGAGAGGCTGGCAGGGGTCAGTGTAGGACCCTGCGGCTCGGCTCCACCTAAACCAGGTCCCTGGAGTGTAGGTCTGAGGACTTGTGGTGTGATAGCAATACTTACCAGAAAGGAGGCAAGGTGAGCTCGTCCGGGTCAAGAGCATCCCAGGTGTTTTTAGGGGAGGGTGACAGGTGTGTCATTTGTTCTGCCCTGGTCAGTCTCCAGGAGTATTGTGTCCAGTTCCCAGCTTCATAGCTTCAGGTGGTCATGGATTCCCTCTCATTTTCGGGAAAGCACGCACAAGTCTTTGGCCAAGTTTTGGCTCCACGGAAACCAGCAATGAGACCATGGGCGAAGCATCTCATCCCCTCCAGCCTGTTTCTAACACCAGTCTGGGTTTGTAAAGGAATCCAGCCGGTGTTCGTGAGCACTGCAGGGACCCACTCAGATTGGATGTGGTCTACGTAAAAGTACTCGATAATTTGTAAATCTTATACAAATGCGGTGGCGGTGTTTAGTTTGTTTCACAAGAGACCAGTTGGGACAGGGAGGTGGTTCTCACAACTATGGCCACTTCAGGGACCTGTACAAGTGCTTGGAGTATTCACCCTGGAAAAGAGAAGCCCAGGGAGACAGGGTAGCTGCCTCCCGTGGGATTATAGTTTGAAACTGGGATTTTCAGAGGCTGCCATTGGCGGGGAGGAAGCCATGCAGGACTCTCCCAGGCTCAGCTTGCTGCTCTGCAGTTGTCCAGAGACACAAGGGCTCAGGACTAGGTCCACAAGCCGCCCCTGCCCCTTGCAGTGTGGGAGCAGAAAGCGGGCAATCGCGGACAGGGCCGTGGCTGTGGGAAGTGAAGGGGCGGAGCCAGGGGACAGCTCTTCCAATGCCGATGGTCCTTGTCCGTGAAGTGTTACCGGTCAGCGTCCCTCTAGCGCCGGCACAGACTTAGACGTGAAATGTGGAGCCTCGTTACAAATACTGGTCACTGGAGGGCTGGGTCTTAAGAGACAAAGAAAACAAGTATCTGTCTGGTTAACTATTTCTGCCCTTGGGATAATTCGCAATTTAAGGAGTTTTAGTTTCTTTCTGTTTTAAGAAAAATTGTTATCATGCTTGAACGCCATGTTTGTAGTACCAATTTCCTATTTGGGAGTC